ATCCACTCCGTGAACTCGTGAAGGCACGCGCGCATCATTCAAACACACCTCACCAGAAACACGGCATGTCGCAATCTGTGACGAATGCAGGCCAGAGCCAATGAGCGTTCAATTATCCTGCTGTAAAACCTGTCGTTTGAAGTGGCAACATTTGAATTTGTAAAGAGCGCGTCAGTCAGCGCGTACCTTGCTGCTCACGGTCACTGGACTCGCTGCTCGGGATGGAGATGAAGATCGCAGAATAAAGGCTTGGATTTGGGTCTGTTACTCGCAATCAAAAAAAAAAAGATTTGCATTACAGCGCACGAATAAAATTGTTTCATTTCGTATTCGCAAGCTCTGGCTGGATCCGCTCCTCTGCTATCAACGAGAGGAACATCTGTATTTCCTCAACAGACAACGAAACAGCCACTTTTTGGTTGTTAAAAAAGGTGTGCTCGATCAAAACAGTTGCGCTCGATCCTTCGCTGGCTGTGCTGATTTAAATCTAGCGGTTCTGTTGTGTTTGTGTCGCAAGTTCAGTGACGCAGGTAGTGACGATTCTCTCCAGCCAAGGTGCGCTCGTTCAAAACAGTTGCGCTCGATCCTTCGCTGGCTGTGCTGATTTAAATCTAGCGGTTCTGTTGTGTTTGTGTCGCAAGTTCAGTGACGCAGGTAGTGACGATTCTATCCGGCCAATCCGTGATCAGCAGAATTTACACGTCACGTTTTGTTAACGGTACGGTTCACTTGGTACCTCAACCGAGGTGGTACTAAAAAAAGTACCAGGTACCAGGTACTGTACCCAGTGGAAAACCCCCCAAAAGTGAACCGTACCGAGCCGTACCATGCAGTGGAAAAGTGCCAAATGTTGTGTTTTTGATGTATTTTATAGTTCTATTGTTAGTTACAGCATGTCGGAGAAAACGCCTTTTTTGGGCCATGGCAAACAAAGTAAACATTACATGACCAGTAAAGGTTAAACGATTGCAGAAATGTTATTTATTTTAAGGTTTAAAGTGAAGTCTTGTTTAACATTATGTAGGCCTATTCTTGGAAACGAGCTGGCAGCAGAAATCACACA